TGTGAGTGTTACAGAAACCTGGTCTCAGCTCACCAATGGGCCCCACAGAGGCCCCAAATCTCCTGAAATGACAGCATTTTTCTGGAGACTGTCATGGCTTTTAATAATCTTAAACAGTAATGATCACCAATGGAATAAAACCGCCAAAACAAAAACAAAAACAAGACAAGGAATAATGAAGCTATCATATACCTGCTAGGCCCGCTTCTTTCTGTAGTGAAAAGATGAATTCTTAAATTTTTTGTAAACTTTGCAGTGCTTGAGTGACCTCTAGAGGCTACCTAAATTGTTGCAGCCAATTGCTCATAGCAGGAATTAATAAACTAAAAAGTGTAAAAAATAACAAAAGATGGCACCATAAAGGAGCACCTGGCGCAGTTTCAATTTACTCTGTAAACTCCTCAATATTCAACATAACTTAGTTCACAATATAGTGTTTAATTCAAAATAGCTTCCCTGACAGCTAAATGAATTAATTTTTTTAACAACAAAGTATGATTTTTCCCAAGTTTTACCTCAAATCAATGAAACATCAGCACACACCCAGAAAAGGAGCAGTGCAGGAATGAAGGATACAGGAGCCTCAAGAACTAACATCCAGGCCGACAGCGGACGCAGCACCTGGGACGCAGTGTTTGACAAGGGACAGCAACAGAAGCTGGGTGACAACTCGGAGAACACACAGTGCCCTCCGGAGAGAGGGAGCTCTGACCAGAGAACTTGACCTGAGTGGGCACGGGGACCACACAGCCTGACCACCATAGGGTCAGACACCCTTGGCAGCAGAAGCGGCACAGGCAGAGGTGGGGTGAGCTGCACGCTCCCCTAGGGTGACAGACAGGCCCCTGGCTCCTGCCCAGACCCGAGAGAACTCCTACAGCAACAGAACGTGCTGTCTCCAGTCAGAGCCACAGGCAGCCCTATGACCCCATGGCCAGTCTGCAGCCCCTCAGCTCCAGCCTTGGCCTCCAGCCTGCATTCCCCAGACTCTAGGTCACAGGTACCCCTCATCTCCAGACTTTACATGACTCCTACATACATACACCTCTCCTCACCATGTCCAGCACCAAGGGGAGCTAACCCTCCAAACAAGAGCCATCACAATCTCAAGGCATTTCTGAACATATACGTCAGTCTTTCCCAAGAAATGTCCTGTAGATATCAGACAACTGTCTCTGGTTATGAGATTCATTCAGGCTTGTTGCCTAGTGCTGTAATTCATTATTAGCAATGCTACTTAAACTCCATTTGTAAATGAAACACTTGGTCCGTTCCACTGCTGAAGACAAATAGGTTATTTCAAATTTAGAGCTGTAACAAATATTGCTGGTAATATCTATTTTTGTACATGTCATTTGGTACATTCGGTACAGGGTAGTGGGTGCTGGGTTACAGGGTAGATACTTGTTCAGCTTTCAGAGATCTCACCAAGCAGTGTTCAAGAGGCTGTGCCCATTTACATCTCCACCAACATATAAACATGCATTCCTTCTGCTCAGTACTTTCACCAAGATTTAGGATTGTGAGGCTGTTTAATTTCTGCCAATCTGGTATCTTGATATTTCATTTTGGTTCTGATATATATTTCTCTGATGCCTCAACACTTTTCATACTGAATACCAAACTTGGTTATTAAAGTCTGCCTTCAAATACATAGTAGTCAGCAAATCTGTCAACACTCCTCAAAAATTTATCTAGGGAAAACAAAACAAATCCAGAATAAAATCATTTTTTACTCTATTCACCACTATAAACCTGATCTAAGTCACCATCATCCCTCATCCAAACTACCACAACCTCCTAAACCAGTCTCTCTGATTCTACCTTGCCCGTGTCCTTGTAACAGAATGATCCTTATCAAATACAAGCCACATCAGGGGACTCTTCTGCTCAGAATCCTCCAGTGCTTTCCCATCTCATTCCAAGTTCTGACCCTGGCTTATAAGGCTCTGGATGACCTGGCCCCAGCTGCCTCAATAACCTCTTCTCTTGCCAGTCTCCCTCTTTCAGTTCCAGGTACACTCACCTCGTTGTTCCTCAGAACATGCCAACCACTTTCCTATCTCTAGTCCTCTGCACCCACTCCTCACCCTGTCTGGAACATTCTCCTTGAACTGAGGGAAATGTTTCATTGTTCAATCAATCCATTCAGGTCTCTGCTTAGATGTTTCTACCAAAGGCTTTCCCTGATCAACCTGTCACAGGGCTGCCGCCACCTCATCATTCCCAAACACCTAATATTCTGCTTTATCCTTTGTATTGCATTTCTCACCACCTAGCATTGTATATATTATCTCTATCCTCACAGTAGAACACAAGCTCTACCAAAACAGGGATTTTTATTTATCTTATTAAACCCTGTGGCCTCATCACCTAGATAGTACTTATACACAAGTGGTGACAAATACTTGTTAAGGAATAAAAGAGCATCAAAACCAAGACTAACAGATTATCAGTGTCAAGAATAAAACAGCATCTATGAATTTCTTCTAGAAATTGTCTGGAATGATGGTCTTACTGCATGCAACACAGTACCATGCCCATAATAGGCCTCCAATAAACATTCAGTTAATAAAACAAACAACTTGCCTTTTACTTTACTATTCTCTTCTCTCCTGCCCTTTCAGATCTTTGTAAAAAATGTAAAATCTGCTTCCATGTTATTTTTTAACAATATATTTTTTTCAAGAATCCATTCTTTCCAGATTATACTTTACATTAGCAGCTATTTAGGCTTAAATTTCAATGAATTCAATGTTTATATTTGTTCATTTACCTTAAAACTTGATTTTTTTTTAGAAATGTTACTGAAATTCATACTGATTCTCTTAAATTCTGAAAATCTCTTTTGTCCTCACATGTAGGCAACATGATGACTGTACAGAAAAAGTTAGTCATATGATCCCTTAAGTATTGTTCCATTTCCCCTATTTTCTGAATCTGCTAGCCTTTAGTGTTATAAATAAATTAAATGCAAGTATAACTTGCATTTACTTATTTATGACCTGGGTTTTGGTTATCTTTTTCTCTTTGAATAGGTAGAATTTCTCTTTGAATTTCACTAGAATAGGTACAAATGTGCATCTTTTTTCAATGTATTGCCTGATGTTTGGTGAAAGTTTTTTCAGCTCCAAGTGAAATTTTCTTCTATTATTTCTTTCTTGAATGTTTTATTTCTGTTTCCTTTGATATTTTCTTGTGGAAATTCCATTATGTTTACTTTAGACAAAGGCTGTCCAACAGAAATACAATTCAAAACTACATGAGTCATTTAAAATTTTCTAGAAGCTGCATTACAAAATAGAAAGAAGTAAAATTAGTTTCAATATTTTATTTATCCAAATATATCCAGAGTATTACCATCTGAAAATGTAATCTATAAACACAAATTACAGGTGAGATACTTTATTATTTTTTCATTCCAAGTCTTCAAATCTGGTACGTGTTGTACACATGCAGCTCATTTCAATTCAGACTAAATGCTTTTCAAAATCTCAATAGGTACTTTTGGCTAGTGGCTACCATACTGAACACCAAATACATCTGCAATTAACTTTATGCCTTTTTTTAGTTTATAATCTTTACCCTTACTCTTTTTCTTCTGAATCCTAAGAGAATTCTTCAAACTGATCTTGAAATTCACTAACACGGTTTTGTAAAGTATTAATCCCATTTATTGCTACATCTATTGAATATTTTAATTCAACAGTCATATTTTACATTCAGGGGCTCTTTCTTCATAGCACACTGCTCCTGACCAATAACTGCCTATTTTGATTATCCAGGAAAGTGATCTAGAATGTCAGACTTTGTCTTAGCATTTTCTTTAAATTCTTTTTAATCTCCTATAGCCAATGTATTACACTGGAGACCCCTTTGCTCAGAGTCACCAGGAGGAGCCCTGAGTTTCAGCTCCTAAGCCTTCTCTTCTGTCTAGTGATACTGCCCTATCTGCTTGGCATTTTAGATGGATAGCCAAGTTCTGTATCATCAGTACTTCATATGGGTCACAATTCATTTTCTTGGTCCCAGAAAGAAGAAAGGACAGTTTAGACTTAGTTATATTTTCTTTAGTAGTTCATAGATATAACAGTTTACAAAGAATAGAGATGGAATTTACAAGCAGAGGAAATGCAGTGAGTTAAGTTAATACCCCATTCGTGTCCACCTGGATAGTCGAGGGATACCACTCCAGCAACTGGCTATGGTATGGACAGCATGAATACAGAACATTTTCCATCACTGCAGAAAATTCTATTGGACAGTACTAGGCAAAACAATTCCTCTTAAAGCCCCAAATATACAACAACCAGGTTCTACCTTTACAAATTCCTCTTTTCCCACCACTTTCTCTTTCCTCCAGGAGTTCATGCCCTTCACCCTAAAACTCTTGGTTCTCTTTAACTGTTTTGACTCTTGACATTTTCCTAGTACAAGAGATAGCACAATAGTAACCATCATCTTGTAAGACTGGGAATTACTGGTTAATTAAGAAAACCTTCCCAGTATCAGTATTTGAAAGAAATGATTGACATTTGAAAACATCTTTAGTGTATGCACAGCAATTACACACTGGAATCACTGTCAGAAATAAGTGACCAATGGTGAGAAGAAAAACAATAAATTGGAGGTAAAAAGCCAAAAGGATTTTACTTTGAATTACGTCCTGTGCTTCAACCAGAAAATATACTGATTATAATAAAATGCTGGGTAGGCTACCAGAAAACTAGTAATGAAACAAGCCTTACCCAAAAATTAAAATAGTTACAAACAGAGCCAACAAGGCTTGTAAATCAACCATACCACCTTTCATAACAACATCTGTTGTAAATAAGAAGCTGAAGTTAAGCATAAAGGTCTGCTGAGATTATTTTATTAACACTGTCACAATTCCACAAAGAAAATGTAACTGAAAGTCAATGAAAGCTGCATGTTCTAAATTATAAAATCAAGAACAATTATTTCATTATTTATAACATTTCAGTAATAAAAGAAATTACCTCAATAACAGGTGTATTTTCTTGAAGCTCAGTTGTATGTGAGGCTAGTAAACCAATCACCCGAGCAACCTTGGCCCGTCTGTAAATGGAGAAAGAAAAGGCTCTGAAGAGGAGATGTAGGGACCAAGGAAACCAACTGCAGTTATTAACACTATGTAATCATGAGAACTAAAATGAGATAAAAATACAGTGTGATAGAACATGCATACACATCCCCATGTATACGGCCCAGAGAAATGCCCCTCATAAACAGAGAGAGCAATGAACAGCAACACCCTCTGCAATGCTACAAGTAATAGTGACAACAATTGAACAATTGCATTTTAACAGGAAAAGGGAAAATAAAAATTTTTTAAAGCCTGAACTGGGCCCCACGCCAGGGACTTGAAACAGCCTAGAGAATAGGGCTGGTAGAATTAAAGATGGTGGAGTGAGGTGGGATAAAGAGGCCTCCTCCAAAATCACATAAAATATGAAAATATAGTTAATACAACTAAGCCTGAAAGAGCAACAGGAAAGAAGGCTGCACCAGACTGTGTACACATGAAGAAAAGAACAGGCCTCACAAAACAGGGCACCAGGACTGCTCCCATAAGACCACAGATATCGCTCCAGGGGCTGTGCAATCCCATAAAGTAGTACTAAACAGCACCACATACAAATATGAAACATCAAAGGAACCTGGTTCAAATCAAAATCTGACATCAAGAAAAGGGCCAAGTGAAACTGAATTCATCAATCTGGTTGAAAGTTTCCAAAATAAAAATAATAAACATGATCATGGACATTCAGAAAAATATTCAAGAACTCAGGGAAGAATTCAGAACTCAGATTCAATCATAAAGGAATTCAGTGTCTGAAATTAAATATACAACACAGGGATTTGAAGCAGATTATATGTACTAGAGGAGATAGTATATGGAATAGAAATTAGAGAAGAGGAATACAAAGATTCTGAGACACAGAGAGAAAATGGATTTCTATGAAGGAAAGAATATTGAAAGAACTCAGACCAATCCAAACGGCACAATATTCGCATTATACAGTTACGAGAAGAACAGAGAGAAGAAGGGATAGAAACTGTCTTTCAGGAGGTAATTGCTGAAAACTTCCCCAATCTGGGGAAGGACATAGTCTCTCAGGCCATGGAAATCCATAGACCTCCCAACACAAGTGACCCAAGAAAGACAACACCAAGACATATAATAATTAAAATGGCAAAGATCAAACACAAGGACAGAGAATTAAAAGAAGCCAGAGAGAGAAAAAAGATCACCTACAAAGGAAAACCAACCAGGCTATCATCAGACTTCTCAGCAGAAACCTTACAGGCAAGAAGTGAATGTCATGATATAGTCAATGCAATGAAACAGAAGGGCCTCATACCAAAAATACGCAGCAAGATTATCATTACATTTAAAGGAGGGATTAAACAATTATCATATAAGCAAAATAATGGAATTTATCTACCACAAACCATCTCTACAATATATTTTAAAGGGACTGCCCTACATGGAAGTATGCCTAAGGCTAAATAACCGTCACCAGAAAATATAAAACTACAGCCAAGAAAGTAGACCAACAAAATACCAACTAAACACAAAATATAATCAGCTCTCCACAAAACTAGTCAAGAGAAAAACAAAGAGTACAGAATAAAACACATAACATATAAAGAGTGGAGGAGGAAGAGTAAGAAGGGACAGAAATAATCATCACACTGTGTTTACAAAAACATAATTGAGTAAAGTTAGATGGTTAGACAGTAAAGAAGCTGCCCAGAACCTTGCATAACCAGAAATCCAAAGCCTAAAATGGCAATAAGTACACATAAGTAATCACCCTAAATGTAAATGGAATGAATGCAAAAATCAAAAGACCCAGAGTAATAGAATGGATAAAAAAGCAAGACCCATCTATATGCTGCTTACAAGAGACTCACCTCAAACCCAAAGACATGCACAGATTAAAAGTCAAGGGTTGGAGAAAGATATTTCATGCAAACAACAGAGAGAAAAAAGCAGGTGTTGCAATACTAGTATCAGACAAAATAGACTTCAAAATAAAGAAAGTAACAAGAGATAAAGAAGGACATTACATAATGATAAAGGGCTCAGTCCAACAAGAGGATATAACCATTATAAACATATATGCACCCAATACAGGAGCACCAATATATGTGAAACAAATACTAACAGAATTAAAGTAGGAAATAGAATGCAATTAATTCATTTGGGAGACTGTAACACACCACTCACTCCAAAGGACAGATCCACCAGACAGAAAATAAGTAGGGACACAGAGGCACTGAACAACACACTAGAACAGATGGACCTAATAGACATCTATAGAACTCTACATCCAAAGGCAACAGGATACACATTCTTCTCAAGTGCACATGGAACATTCTCCAGAATAGACCACATACTAAGCCACAAAAAGAACCTCAGTAAATTCCAAAAGACTGAAATCCTACCAACCAACTTTTCAGACCACAAAGGTATAAAACTAGAAATAAATTGTACAAAGAAAGCAAAAAGGCTCACAAACACANGGAGAAGGACAAGTACCAAATGATTTCACTCATATGTGGAGTATAAGAACAAAGGAAAACTGAAGGAACAAAAAAGCAGCAGAAGCACAGAACCCAAGAATGGACTAATAGTTACCAAAGGGAAAGGAACTGGGGAGGATGGGTGGGAAAGGAGGGATAAAGGCAGGGAAAAAGAAAAGGGCATTACAATTAGCATGTATAGTGCATGGGGGGCACGGGGAGGGCTACGCAACACAGAGAAGACAAGTAGTGATTTTACAGCATCTTACTACGCAGATGGACAGTAACTGTGAAGGGGTATGTGGGGGGTCTTGATGAAGAGGGGAACATAGTAAACATGTTCTTTCTGTAATTGTAGATTAATGATACCAAAATAAAAAAAATAAAAAAATATTTAAAAAAAGCAAGACCCACTATATGCTCTGCTGCCTATAAGAGACTCCCTCCAAACCCAATGACATACACAGCCTGAAAGTGAAAGGATGGAAAAAGATATTTCATGCAAACAATAGGAAGAAAGCAGGTGTTACAGTACTTGTATCATACAAAATACACATCAAAAGAAAGGGAGAAACGAGACAAAGAAGGGCATTACATAACGATAAAGGGATCATCCCAACAAGAGGATATAACCATTATAAATATCAATGCACCCAACACAGGAGCACCTACATATGTGAAACAAATACTAACAGAATTAAAGGGGGAAATAGAATGAAATGTATTCATTTTAGGAGACTTCAACACACCACTCACTGCAAAGGACAGAGCAAAAACAAAAAAAATAAGTAAGGACACAGACACTGAACAACACATTAGAAAAGATGGACCTAACAGACATCTACAGAATGTAACAGACATCCACACCCAAAAGCAGCAGGATACACATTCTTCTCAAGTGCACATAGAACATTTTCCAGAATAGACCACATACTAGGCCACAAAAACAGCCTCAGCAAATCCAAAAAGACTGGAATTGTACCAACCACCATCTCAGATCAGAAAGGTATAAAACTAGAAATGAATTATAAAAAGAAAAAAAAAGGCCCACAAACACATGAAGGTTTAACAACATGATCCTAAGTACTCAATGGATCAATGACCAATTAAAACAGAGATAAAGCAATATATACAGACAAATGAAAACAACAGCACAATGCCCCAACTTCAGTGGGATGCAGCAAATGCAGTTTCAAGAGGAAAGTATATAGCAATCCATGCCTATTTAAAAAAGGAAGAACAATCCTAAACAAATACTCTAAATTCACAGTTAATGAAACTGGAAAAAGAAGAAATGGAGCTCAGTGTCAGTAGGAGGAGGGACATAATAAAGATCTGAGAAGAAATAAATAAAATTGAGAAGAATAGAATAGAAAAAAGTAACGAAACCATGAGCTGGTTCCTTGAGAAAATAAACCAAATAGATAAACCCCTAGCCAGACTTATTAAGTAAAAAAGAATCCACACACATAAATAAACAGAATCAGAAATGAGAAAGGAAAAATCACGATGGACACCACAGAAATACAAAGAAATATTAGAGAATATAATGAAACACTATATGCTAACAAAATGGATAAACAACAAGAAATGGACAACTTTCCAGAAAAATATAACCTTCTAAGACTGACCCAGGAAGAAAAAGAAAATCTGAACAGACTAATTACCAGCAAAGAAATTGAATTGGTAATGAAAAAACTATCCAAGAACAAAACTGCCTGGATGAGACAGATTCACTGCTGAATTTTATCAGAAATTTAGACACAACATAATACCCATTCTCCTTAAAGTTTTCCAAAAAATAGAGGAATGAATACTTCCAAACTCATTCCAAGAAGCCAGAAAAACTCTACTACCAAAACCAGGCAAAGACCCCACAAAAATAGAAAATTTCAGACCAATATTCCTAATGAACATAGATGTAAAAATACTCAACAAAATATCACCAAACCAAATTCAAAAACACATCAAGAGGATCATACACCACGATCGAGTAGAATTCATCTCTGGGATGAAAGGATGGTAAAATGTACGAAAATCCATCAACATCATCCCCTACATCAACAAAAAGGGAAAAAACCACATTATCATCTCCATAGATGCTGAAAAAGCATTCAACAAAATGTAACATCCATTCATGAGAAAAACTCTCAACGAAATGGGTATAGAGGGCAAGTACCTCAACATAATAAAGGCCATATATGACAAACCCACAGCCAACATCATACTGAACAGTGAGAAGCTGAAAGCTTTTCTTCTGAGATCGGAAACAAGACAGGGATGCCCACTCTCCCCACTGTTATTCAACATAGTACTGGAGGTCCTAGCCATGGCAATCAGACAAAACAAAGAAATACAAGGAATCCAGATTGGTAAAGAAGTCAAACTGTCACTATTTGCAGATGACATGATATTGTACATAAAAAACCCTTAAGACTCCACTCCAAAACTACTAGAACTAATATCAAAATTCAGCAAAGTTGCAGGATACAAAATTAACACACAGAAATCCGTAGCTTTCCTAT